GGGAATATTTTAAATCTTAGTGGTACATTTTATTTCTTGATGTCCATGAAATTATCACGAACAATACCAAAGTATCCACCCGACAAAATCATAATCCTAATTACTGACAAATGTCTTGTGGCAAGAAACCACCATTATATATTAAAATTGAGTAAAGAGTTACGAAGAATGGATTAAGATGAACTTGTGATTACAAATCAGACTTATTAAAGTTCAAACTTAAAGTAAATTGTGAATGAAAGATATAAAAAAATCCACATGTTATGAGGTTTTTAAAACAAAGAATGAATGAATGGGTAGTTACCTTTGAATACAATGATAAATTATCTTAAATAAGGTGATTAGATAGATACTAAAAGTTATTTTTAATTTTTTTTATTTGGAGAGTTTATGCAACTAATAAGAACAACAACTTAACAATAACAACTGAATTGCACTTCAATCAAATTTATAATATCTTCAAAACATGTTTATAAAGTAGATTCTTTCTAAAAAAATATTTTTCAAGTAGATATATAATTATAGATTGATAACTAGAAGATGATAACTTGTAGGCAGTAATTTTCTAGATGAGAGGTAAGTAGACAATAATAAAGTAGACCTGTAATTTTATTTGTAATAAGGAGGCTTGCAGTTTTAAATTTATGAACCAAAAATATCAAAAAAAATATTTTATTATCTAGAGTTTCCAATATATTGATGTAATCAAGATAATGAATCACACTACGAATAAATATTCATTTTCCAAATTATTAAATTTATTTCACATCAAACTGTTTTAATTAATTGATTGTTTTTTTAGTTGAACTATTATTTGTATGAAAATAAATTTAATTGTATTAATATTTGTGTAATTTTATAATATAAATTTAAAATTATATAAATAGGCTTAAGACTAAGTCAATTTAAAACTTAAATTTTAAGTTGTAAAGTTTTTTTAATCCAAACCAATAAAAACAAACCTATATAAATCGCTAATATTATTCTTATGAGACACCTGTCAAATATTTTCAAGTCTCAACCTTCAGCCATTTTTCCTACGTCTTTAATGCTTAATTCTTTATTTAATCTCATTAAAACTTACCCAAAATGAAACTTTCATTTAGACGATTTCGAAGAAAAGTAAAATAAAAACGTGTAAGATGCCACGTGTAATGCATAGTATCTGATAGGATACATGTAATCAGTAGTTTTATTGGTATGTTTATTATTATTTCTTATCTTCATTTTATTGACCTGGATTTCGAAGAAAAGTAAGATAAAAACGTGTAAGATGCCACGTGTAATGCATTGGATCTGATAGGATACATGTAATCAGTAGTTTGATGTATTCACGCATTCATGCAACTTACCTTCTAGTTGTGTTGGTTTCCTTTTTTTGGAATACAAAATCACAGCATTACCTTGCCGTTTCATTTTTCAAAGTGGGCGGTGAACGCCCCTCGTCAATAAAAAGGAAAAAGTAACGGCCGTCAACACGGAACGGGTCATCCATCGCAAGGTGGGCTCGTGCTTAAGGATAGAAAGTAGAAACGCCTCCAAATTGCGCAGGCAGGCAGGCTGGCAGCAACACAAACAAACAACACGAGACACAGAGCTTGAGTTTGTAAAACATGGCTTCAATGGCACCACCAAAAGCCTATCCTGGCTGTCTCTGTAAGGCTCGCAGCATCGAACACCACAATGGGTTCACTCGTCCTCGTATCCTCTTTTGTCAGCAGCAGGACAACGACAACAAACCCCAGCATCAAATTGCTCGAAGGTACTAAATTCTTTGTAGGCATGAAAATATATTTACATCGAATGTGTCTGTCTATCCAATCAGGTGGAGAGGTTCTGATAAGAAGTATATAAATTTGAAGGGAAATAGTACTAAGGAGCAGTGAATTAGCAGTAGCTGGTGCCATTTTCAATCTCGGGTATGTTTCCTTTTCTCCACCCCTCTGTCGCCTTCTCCCTTTAAAGTCTCCCGTCGGAAAAATATCAGTGAAATGTTACAGCAGGAAGAGCCGAAATCTCCCATTCATAGTATTCATCTATTGTCATGTAGGTTTTTCTCGTGAATTTTTTAATACTCTATACACTATATAGAGAGGTGGATTTAGTATTAATATGATCCAAGGATCTGATAAATATTTAACTAATCACTTAGAATTAAACACTAAAAAGTATTGTTAATTTCTTAAAAAAAGTTTTACAGTAAGGTATGCTCGATAATTTATATTTAATTTAGGATTTTTGTTTTTTGTTTTTTTTAAATCTCATATGTTTTCAATCTGGCCTATGTTAACAGTGGGAAAAAGCCTGAATACCTGGGGGTGCAAAAGAACCAACCATCATTATCGCTGTGCCCAGCTACAAAGAATTGTATCTCAACATCGGAGAATATCACTGATCTTACCCACTATGCCCCTCCATGGTAGGTGCTGCCACAAAAAACTCTCGCCGACTTCTTTTTTAACGTTTCTAACATGTGAAAAGCAAGTCCCAAGTTCTCAACTAGTGCGTCTCGTGGTCGCCGATAATGACCTGTCAAACCTAACACGTGCTGAGTTGAATATTTTGGTGTGTTTTTTTTCCCCTTCTTCTTCTGCTGTAGGAACTACAATGGTGGTAGAAAAAAGCCAGTCAGCAAGGAAATGGCAATGGAAGAGCTTCTTGATGTGGTAAAATGTCTATTCAGATTCCTTCTAAGCATGTTGAACAAAAAAGAGATGTGATACAACAATTCCATTGCTTCATGATTGTAGATTAAGCTTTAACAGCAAGATCAAATTAAGCTGAACCTGAATAATTATCAATTACTCAGATAAGATCAACGAAACCGGAGAAATTTACACCAAAGATTGTAGAGAGGGATGATGATTATGTGCACGTGGAATACCAGAGTCCTATTTTAGGGGTAAGTTAGATGTCTTCCTCTCAAGAAATCGCAAGTTGAACCTTTGAGTTGCAATGAAACGCTTAACACCAACACCCTGATGTTCTTTCAAACAGCTAGTCGATGATGTTGAGTTCTGGTTCCGGCCAGGCAATAATGCGATTGTGGAGTATCGGTCTGCATCACGCTTGGGAAACTTTGATTTTGATTACAACAGAAAGAGAATCAAGGTTAGCTTTTCTAACATTATGGGGTCCTATGCTTCGAAAATATCTTCACTCACTTAGCAGGAACCTGGTGTTCACTGCAGATATTGAGACTAGAGCTGGAGAAGAAAGGCTGGGCATCTGCAGAGAGTTTCTGAAGGGGCCCTTACCTGATAGCTGCGCTGTTAATTTAGAACATCAACAGCATTCATTGATGTTGAAAAAAAATATAAAGGAATAAGATTGTACCAGGAAAATTTTACATCTACCCAGTTGTACCCCATGATGATTTGTTCCTAGTGATCTAGAGATCCACGGACAGAAGTCAAAACTGATACTCTGGTGGGTACAGGCCGTTGTAATAATCTCCATGTGTTTACATCAGGAGTCCCTTACTCTTGATGACAAGGGACTAGGAAAGCTAGAACCCTGAACCCAAGTCCTTCTGTGATGTGAA